TTCCAGACAGAGAAGCATGATTTAAATAGAAGGGGAGCAGTGGGCAATGACAAAATGATGAGAGATCAGTAAGAATCATCTTTCAGAGATCATGATTGCTGTACTTGAGGGTTTGGTTCCATCCAGAGAGGTAATCATGGAAGGTTTTCTGATAAAGGAGTGACTGATACGTGTTGTGGTATTTAAGGAAAATACAAGCTGGCAGCAATGTGTAGAGCAAATTGGAAGAGACATGGGGAATCCTCTTTGAAGATCATCCCAATAATTCAGATCTAGGAAGCTGAGAGCCTCAGAGGGCCATGGCGAAGAGAGGAAGAAGCATGAGACGGGATGTGAAAGAATTACTTACAAGAACTTAGTAGCTACAGTGAAAATGAGAAGACGGGACTTTTGCCTCCTGGTTGTTTATGAGGATTCAGTGATTCTATGAAGCACTTAGAAGAGTGTCTAGAATTTAGGAAGCACTCCAATAATAACAGCTACTGCCATTTCTAGGAAGAGCTATGCAGTTGTGGACTTTCAACTTTTATGTTGACTTCAACATACACATATGCATAAACAGATCAATAGATAATATTTCTTGTGTTCTTTGAATTCCTATAAAAACTAATCACATAATGAATAAAACAAAACTCAGTATGCACTATTAACCAAAGAATTAAAATACCATTAATAACTAAACTAAAATGTTAACCATGCCAATTTCTCCTCATGCATTTTTTTTACAATTGTTATTTCTTAATATAGGAAAAAAACAGACCCTTATTCTTAAAAATTGGCATGTATTGAAGAGAAAGTCTTAACAGAAGAATCCTTATTCCTTCAAGATAGAAATTTCACAGGCTGAAATATCTGACTGCAATACAAGCAGACCTCATATTATTGTGCTTTGCAGATAGTGGTGGTTTTTTTTTTTTTTTAAACAAATTGAAGGTTTGTGGTAACCTTGCATTGAGCAAGTCTGTTGGTGCAATTATCCCAACAACATTTGCTCTGTCACATTTTGGTAATTCTCACAGTATTTCAAACTTTTTCATTATTATTATATCTGTTATCAGTGATACTCAGTGTTACTATTACAACTCACTGAAGGCTCAGATGATGGTTAGGATTTTGTATCAATATTTTTTAATTAAGCTATGTACTTTTTTTAGACATCACACTATTGTACACTTAATAGACTATAATATAGTGTAAACATAACTTACATGAACTGAGAAATGAAAAAATATGTGTGACTTGCCTTACTGCAGTTCACGGAGGCTGGAACCAAGCCCACAGTATCTCTGAGGCATGCCTGTATAGTAAAAGGAGAAATTAATACAAAGATTTAACAGAAAAAGTAAACATTTGCAAATTTAAAAAAAATCACTTTTCTAAATAGCCACAAGGTCATAGAAGTTATAGAATAATAGAACATTAAACATTAATAAAGTAAATCATAATTTACATGGCATGGCCAAAACTGAAGTTATTAACAAACATTAAATGAGTTTAGGGTGTTCCAGTTCAAAATGGAGCCATAATAGGATCCTGAACTCTCCTCCTGTAAACACAATGAAACTGCAGCTACTTATAAAACAACTTCCTCTGAAAACAAAAAACTGGTTGAGCAACTCCTGTGCATCAGGCGAGTGACAGAAAGTTCGCACTGAAGTAGGTCAGAGAGGCTGGCATACAGTATCACCATAAACCCTGCCCTTGTGGTAACCCACAATCAGGAAGAACTCAAAACCCAGAGCTTATCCCTAAGGAGCAAGGAATTTGAACCCCACATGAGGCACCCCAACTTTTCAGACCTGCACCTGAGAGATGAGCCCTCAAAATACCTAGTTTTGAAAATCCACAAGGTTTGCATCCAGAAGATCCACAGGACTACAGTGATGTGGAAAATGGCCTAAAAGTGCTCATGTACTTGGACTCTGTGTAGGAGGGGTTCATTAGCTTATCTCGGAGCACTGGCCGGAGGGGCCAGCACCTGCTGGGGATCTGTTGTGATGCTCTCCAGGGATAGACATGGGCAGGTACCTCTTTGGGCTCGCTCTCTCTGCATTTCTCCAGCTAGCAGATATCTTTTTTCCCCTTTTTTCTTTTTTTCCTACTGGGCACCATCTGTACAGTCTTCCTCTGCCTTGCCCCCAGACTGCCAGTACCTCCTGGAG